GTTCAAATGTAACTAGAACAAGATCTGAGAGTAGCGTGCTATGCCTACATACCTTTAGGACAAGAAGCTGTTAGAATGAGCTAATGCTTAGGCATTCCTCCCCAGAGGTCTGTCTTCAAGTTCATGCTTTTCCATACTAATAAAAAAGAATCCTCATATATGGGGAATACATTCCAGCACAAACTAATTTGTCTTCACAGTTTGCTCATGACCTACAACTGGTATGGCACACGTGTTTCTGCCTAGGCTGCAAAGGTGAAAAAACCGAGTCTGATAACAAAAATTAAGAAAAAGCCAAACAAACCAGGAGTACTAGTGATTGAGTCTCTTACTGTTAAAGTGCAGTCCCCTCAGTGGAGATAATTATTAGCATATAATAGAAGGTACATGTGTTAATATGTTGTTAGAAAAGTGTTGTGAGGTGCCTAGTAGAAATTAGTTATTAAAAAAAAAAGGTTTGGAAATACCTGGGTACTACACAAGTATTTAATGATCTCATAGTTACCTGTATTTTAGTAAATTCTGTTGGCGTTCAATATATTTTTTTTTTAAATTACTGTAACTATGTTCTGCATTTGGAGAAAAAATTAAGTAATTTGCCAGATTTTCAGAGGCAGCTACCTGGTAAAGCCTGCATGCTTAACTTCTTTGCTTTCACTGACACTATAAACTTATCAAGTCCAATGTTGTTTTAAATCCTCCTGAGCAAATTTTCACAAATCAAATATAAAACTTAAGTCAGTACTAATTATTGGGTTCAACAGAGTTCCAATGTGACATGCCTAGTTTCAGCATTAGCAACTTCCTAACTTACTGTTATGAATTTAAAAAAAAATTGGTCTCGCAAGTATATTTTTTTATTAGCAAGGAGAAAAGAATGAACGGGAAAGGCAGAAAACATAGAAAATTGAATGGAAATTGTGCTAATCACTACAACGTGTTTCTTCTTGAATCGCAGGTAACATTTGTCATTACTCACAGAGCCATCAGTTAGTTTCTCTGCCACCCATCATCCTGTACAGGCACCTGTTGCCACATATTTTGGCCTCGTATAGTTAAGAATGATCCACAAATACCCTGCAAAAACAGATTATAAATTAATTCTATCAGACAAATAACTGTACCCTGAAATGAGTTGTCTGGTTTTGGATCAAATCTGCTCTTTTAGACAGTATTTTAAAATCAAATATATGCCCTTCCATACAATAAGCACTATAAAAGACTGACAGTTCTGTTCATCTGTACTCAGTAGGTTGAATTGAATGAGCAAGACTCTTTTTGTATTAGAAGTCCCATCAAGGCAGTCACTCCTTTCTTGCACAATGTGCTTCAAATAATTAAATACTCATTACTCAGTTTGCTATAATGTGGGGTTTAGGTTTGGGTTGGTTTTTTTGTTTGTTTGGTTGGTTGGGGTTTTTTTAATTTGGTTAGTTGGTTGGTTTTTAAGTGGACTGAGCCATTTACTTGAGTTCTAAATCCAAAACTACCACAAAAAGCATCTTACCAAACTTGGCCATACTAGCAACACTGTCCATACATACTTGAGAGAAACATTATTTTTGTCAGCATAGCAGTATCAGTTACCTGAAGGAGCCACAGTAATGAACGGTTTTGTGCCAGTCTAAGTACTGTTTTTATTTGTAAGTAAGGATTAATCCTGTATATGGTCCAGCTGACATAATGCATAACCTCATGATGCCAGAACAGCTTCAGATGGAAATAGTTCAGTGTATCTCCTTCTGCAAGGCAGCAACAAAACCTGATTTATTGTATTGCAAAAGCAATTCCTGACTGTTTGATTTGAGCTGTGCTTATTGCAGTCTTTAGAGAAACTCAATTAAGTCTACTTTGGTAAAAGATTCTCAGACTTGTAGATTTGTTAGTGACACAGGAATTTAATTTCACTCTGATATGATCTAGTTTGCTTAGAACTAGCATTGCATGATCATATAATCCCTTTGTCTAATTGAGGGTACAATGTGTAAGGTACTATGTCCTGAATATCAGGACACAAGCAGATGATCTTCTGATGTTACCCATATGGCCAAATTAATTGCCACGTCATGCTGTCAGATATTGACACTACTGCTAATAATACATATCACACTAAAATTACTCTTAAAATTACTACTATTCACATGCAACTTTGTTTGGCTGTCTGCTGAATCTTTCCATTTAATATTCGTGGCAGAAAATACTAAACAGAAAGATTTTATTTGCTTGAGATTAGTCTTGACTTAATTAATAAGTTTCACAGATACTGGTACATGTCTTATTATATATGCTCTAAAGATGCACATCAAATTACTAGTTGAACTGTTAGCTGGGGACAGGCTGCTGAAAAATAAACCATTACTTTTTTTTTTTTTAAAGAAGAGCTTCTTTTTTGTCTTTCCTCCCATAGCCCTCCAGTATTTTTAGATTTTAAAAATGCAGGCAAAACTGCTCCTCCTCCCTTTAACTCCTTTTTCTCCAAAAAAAAAAAAAAGGTGCAAAGGCAACAGTAAAAGATGTTTTCTGTATGTCATCTGCAGGGAATTTGTAGGTCAATTGAAATACATTCTTTACGGTGCGGTGGCTGTTACAGGTATGGGAATTCTCTTGAAAAGCCCTATCTGTCCAAATTGGGTGAGGAGAACAAAATTCAGGCTGTGATCTGCTTAGGAACTTTTTGGGTTTTTGGGGGATCCTGAAAAAGATTTATGAAAGCTAATCCAGACCATAACTGTAATAACTGTATCAGAATAAGTGGGACAAGAGAGTGGATATGTGTTCACCCTCTCAGAGTTTTACCTTCCCTAGATGTTAACTTCAATCTCTTCTCTTTTTTTTTTTTTTAAATAAACATTTCTTTCACCATTGACCCTCCTTAGATGCAGAGGAAAACTTCAAGATACATACACTAAATAGCAAAAGCAATTACCTTAATTGATTTTAATCTTTCTCTCTCTTCTTTTCTTTAATACAGGAGGTTGGCACTGCAGCTCTCCATCCACACCCCAGCCACCCCTCATCCACTTCTTTACCCCTACTGCATGAAATTAAATTCCCCAGGTAACTACTGGGGCATAATTTTGGAGCGACACTAAAGCCCTCAGACCTCAGCCATCCAGATGTTGATCTGGGTGTGAGGGTAGGAAACAGGTTAGTCTTAAATATTTTCTCATTCTGAAAGGAAGACCCTTTGTGGTGTTTGACATGAACATCATTATTATTCAGCCTAACTACACTGCTGGTTCAACAATTTACATATCCATGGGAAAGAAGACATTTTGCTGCAACATACTTCAGTGCATCTGCTGGCATCTAACCTACTGGGTAAAAGAAATGAAACTACTGGATTGAACATAATATACAATTTTCCCCTTAGGAAATACAGAGCCTATGGTTCTGTAGATTTTCCCTTTATTATTTTCTTGACATCATAAGCATCCCTTTAATGTGAATGGGACAAAACTATTTTACTAGCCTTTGATAACAGGCAGATTGCCCAGGCTGTCTTTGTTACACTAAGGAAAACAGGGGAGTAGCTGGAATTCTGTATTTCACTAGTGGTCCCAGCTGGGAAACAAATACCTGTAGGCTGCCCAAGCCAGCTAAGTTAGTAGAGTCCCTTGCTGCTGAAAATGTCCCCCAGAGCTCAGAAACATCTACTGAACCAGTACTGGACAGAGCATGAAAGTTAGCTCACATATGCTGGTCTTTCTCTGATGTTTCTCTGACCCAACTACTCTTCACAAAAACAATCTTAGATACTTTACAAAACAAGTGACCAAATGGTGACATTCATGAACAGGTTTTTGCTTCTTTTCTTTTTTCTTTTTTTTTTCTTCCTTTATGGGAGAGTGTTTTCTTCTTTTTTTTCCACGTTTTTTTCCCTCCCATTTCTGTTGTGTTTAAATGGTAGAACCTTTTCACTAGTCATATATATACTATCAAATATTGCAAAGCAAAATAAATTTTAGAAGTGCTAAATATGACACCAAAGCTAAGCATTTGATTTCATTATATTCATTTATATTCTATTACAAGATTAAATGTGCTGCTGTGGATCTCAAGGTACCGTTTTTGGGGGGCAAATATTTAAAAAAAACCCAACCAATTATTTTCCATATAAAGGATGTAAAGTTTACTGTTGCAATAAAAGAAAAGGGATCCTGAATTATATTCAGCACACACTTATGTAAGAGATACAAAAGCTGTGATTTCAACAATCAACCCTTTGCTAAAGATTGCAGGCTGACTTGGAAAGTTGGGTTTAACTTTGTAGTAAATAGCTCATTCTTAAATTTGCAGCTGACTAGGAAAGTGCCTCTGCAGAACAGAGCAAGAGTACTTCCATCTGTTTGAACAAGCACGCCCCACCACAGCTTTCTGCCTTAGAAACAGAAAAAGTGGGGCTGCTCAGGCAGTGCTGGGGCATACTGACCCCCACCATCCTTATGCAGCAGTTCTCTCCAGTCCCCATTATGAACTTCATATTAACATCTGCCATAAAGCATGACGTTGGTGTAAGTACTGTAAGGCCTCCCTCCTTTGTAAATTGCCAAATTGTAAACTTGCTTATTTATACTGGCAGTCCCATAAAGAACATATATTAAAAAATATAAGGAAGCTTATATGTTATATATTTTTTTACTGCAACCTTGATTTGGGTTTTTAAGGAGAATCAGTGAAAGTGATAATCAGAGATTCAAGAGTTGACACAGGTTCTAGTGTCTTGCTAGGTGTAAAAATTAGGAAGACACAAGAAAATATAGCTATTTTTAAAATGTGTTACATCCTACTCTTTTATGAGAACCTGGTTTCATGCCACTGTTATGACAGAAGAGAGATGTATGATGCCCTGTGTTGAAGAAAGTCACCCTTTCAGTATTCTCTGACATTGCTTCTGGCTGATTCCAAGATCATCACGATCCATTAGAAGATGACACTGAGCATGCAGTGTATCAAGACTTTATGCAATCAGACTTAAATCAAACTGAGACCATAGGGTATTTGGTTTAAATAATCTTATATTTTATTGTAAAAGTCATAAAAAGCAATTATTAGGACATACAATTTAGATTTTTAAATTTTCTGCGTATTTTATACTTATTAAATAATGATCTATAGCAGTCATTAGTAAGAGTAAGGAAGCTATTTCTTAGTCAGTATGCATGACAAAGTCCTGCAATAATTCTTTTTACGCTATATAAACAATATTCCCCATTAAGTAGGCAGATTTTCTCTGCCTATTGTTCATCTGCTGATAAACAGATGCTGATTTTGCAAAAGTTTGCTTTGTCTTCTGAATTTGACAGTCCAAACAGCCAGTTTCACAAATAAAAGAGGGTGGATTATGACCAAAAAAAAAAAAATCTCAGCAGTGATGTTAGTATTTGGCTTTGTTTGGAGAGCTTTCTTCTGCTTCAGTGTCTTTCATCTCATGTTCCATCAGAAAAGTCTCTGCAGAAGAGTTGTTTTTTCTTCCAGCCACTGTCAAATCTTTACTTCTTGAAATACATATTCAGAAGTACATATAAAATGTAAACTGCATAAAAAAAGATGTTACTCGTGTATTTTTTCTCTTTAGACACAATGTGTGACAAAATATCTTTATATATTGAATTTTTTTTACCATGTTTCATATCACATATCATTCGTGTTCATTTAATACTAAGAAAAAGTATCAGATTCAGCATTTATATTCCAAAGATAAGATAAAATAGATTTCAATCATGTTTTACAGGTTATTTACTTAGAAATTTGTCTCAAGAGGTAAAAAGTGATTAATAAAAATAACGATAAAGTAAGTAAAGATACAAGATATATCTGAATGTAAATACCAAATATATAAAACATTATTCTGGATAACAACGTATAAATACTGGTAATTACTTTTATTGTTTTCTCATACAATAGCTCCTATAGATATATCCTTAAGAGCCTATTATTTGGTTAATTAAAGCTTCATTTTCCCAGATAAGATCATCTCATGTACTTCTTTGGTTAACAAGACATATGCTTTCTTAGAATTATCTAAAAAATAAAGAGGATCAGTAATTGTAGATGGATTAAAACCTTCATCCACAAGGCGAAATTTTTGTTGTTTGAATGTTCCAGTCATTTCCATTTTTTCCTGTAGAAGTGAGAAAGATACATTATTCAGAAGCGAAGCTTCTTCTCTTTTGCTCACATTCACATGTGCTTTTCAAAATCTTACTTGATATAAGGTCACTACCGTTTATTCTCATTGCGCTGGAAATCTAGAACTTGTGTGCTGCTACAGACCAACACCAGGAGGTGTGGTGGACAAAAGCTAGAGCTCGTTTCTTTCTGCATCCCTGTGCAGTGTCTCATTAGTGTCACATGTGGTGCAGCCCCAGCCTGCCTGAGACAACCAATCTCCTTCACTGTGCACATTATAAAATGTGTTAAACTACACATCATAAAGAACATGTGAGTAAAAACCATCGCTATCAAGAGCTCTTTAATGATAAAACTCAGGAAATTCTCCATATAATCATTTATTGTCACCTTAAAAGAGGGGTTGAAACAATCACATACTAAATTAGCCATACTTATATTCAGCAAGTCCAAAGGAAGACAGACCTTGGCCACACATTTTGTGTTTTCAGACTGCTCCACTGCCACAGTGTACCTTGGAAAAGTAGTGGGAGGCACCTCTAGTGAGATTGTCTTCTCTATTCTCCCTACCTCTACTCAGCCCAACTTTATGACCTTTCTTCATCATCTTCTGGAGGTCTCCTGGGAGGCCAATCAGTTGACTAGGGGGCAGAACCCAGCCCATCAACGAGGGATTTAAACGGCTGCTGGGAGCACCCCAGGGATCAGTGTTGGGCCCGTTCCTGTTTAATATCTTTATTGCTGATTTAGATGAGGGGATTGAGTCCACCATCAGCAAATTTGCAGATGACACTAAGTTGGGGGGGAGTGTCGATCAGCTGGAAGGCAGGAGGGCTCTGCAGAGGGACCTGGACACGCTGGAGAGTTGGGCTGATTCCAAGGGGATGAGGTTCAACCAGGCCAAGTGCTGGGCCCTGCACTTTGGCCACAACAACCCCCTGCAGTGCTACAGGCTGGGGACAGAGTGGCTGGAGAGCAGCCAGGCAGGAAGGGAGCTGGGAGTGTGGATGGACAGGAAGCTGAACATGAGCCAGAGTGTGCCCAGGTGGCCAAGAAGGCCAATGGATCCTGGCCTGGATCAGGAACAGTGTGGCAGCAGGACCAGGGA